CTTGTTTTGTTGATTATTTTTGTGAGACAGCATATTGATAGGCATACCTGATACTCACTTGATAGCCCAGGCTAGCTTTGAATATACAGTAGTCCTCCTGCCTCAGCCTCCAAAGCATTTAGAGAGATGTGCATCACTTTTCTAGGCTGTTAAACACATATTAAGGACCTATTCAATTAGCTCTAGTGATTGAGCAGTGGGCCAGACAACAGGAGGTGGCCTTGATAGAATTTTCTCTAGTTGTACAAAATATAAGATATTCTGAATAAGTTTATCTACTCTCAAAAATTTGTCTATTACTGTATTGTCTGAAAAGGTGGAAATAGTAAATATTTTCTAATGAAATTTTTAGACTTGGTGAAATTCAGGGCTGAGTATGGTATTGTACATGCCTGTAATCCTAGCACTACAGAGACTGAGGCAGAAGAGAATCAAAGCCAGTCTGGCTAAATGCACTATCTTAAATAATGGTGTGGGGTGGGGGTGTTGGCATAAAAACCATGAATTATAAGATACGATGGCTAACTCCTGTGATCTACCTACTCAGAAGGCTAAAAGCAGGAGTACTTTAATGGTGGCCTGGGCAACATACTGAGGATCCCATCTCAAAAAAAAAATAAAGCAGTGTGTGGTAGTACATCCTAGCAATCAGAAGGGAGAGGGAGAGGGAGAAGAGGGGGAGCAGGGTGTGAATGTGGCCCCATTAGTAGAGTTGGCTAGCATGCACAAAACCCTGAGTTTGATCCCCAGTACAAAATAAACCTGGCATCCATGGCACATGCATGTATACCAGTACTGGGGAGGCAGAGGCAAAAGGATCAGAAAGAGGGCTGAAGGATCTGGAGTTCCAGGTTATTCTCTGTATATAGAAATTTTGAGGACAGCCTGGGCTACTTTGGGAGAAGGAAGAGGGAGGGAAGAAGGGAGAAAAGAAGAGAAAGTAAGAGAGGAAGGGCGGGAAGAGAAGGGGGGAGAAGCCCAACCACATGCAGAAAGACAGTTGTATTGAAGATGTAGTTCAGTGGTACAGTAAGGTCCAGGGTTCAATTCCCAGAGATTTCATGCACAGTGGATAGACAGACAGGCAAGCAAACACAAACACACACCCCACACCTACAAAAAAATGTGGTAGTACTGTCAACCATCACTCTAAATCTAATGAGGAGGCACTTAAGTAGCCTCCAAGAAAATAGTAACTGTTAATATTCAGAAAAAATTAAAATACCATTCAACAAAGAAAAATACATTTAAAAATTAACTTGAGAGTTTTCCATGAGACCCTTATACCCCTAACCAAGCATGCTGAAAGACCAAGGCCTCCTTAGAGGGCAAGGAAGGAATTTAGGAGTGAAGAAGTCAAAAGAAACAAATTCCAGAGGAAGGAAACTAAATACAAATAAAAATAAACTAAATAAATCTACTGTGGGTCGGGGCCTCACGGTTGAGGACTGCTGTGTCAAGCCTGATCTCCTTTCAGGGGTTTTCTTTTATTTCCCAGGCTTCCAGGACCCTTCCTACCTTTTCTCGACGAACACGATGAAGAGTTTGTGACAAAGGTGGAGGAGCCAAGCACCTTCCTGGGGGCTCGAGAAACCACCACTGCAAAGAGAGGTAAAGGGGGGCATTCAGAAGAGGCTGGAGAGCTCGGACCCCCGAGCCTTGTTCTACAGTCCCAGCCTGGCGTAGAGTAGGGTGATGCACAGCAGCAGAACGACCTTGCCCAGTCTCCGCAGCTCCTCGAGGTGAGGACCTGGCGCCTGCCTCCTAGCTGGACTCGATCGGGGGCAGCCTCGGGTGTCTCCATCCCAGGGACAGGCTGCCTGGGGAACTCCTGACCCCCCGCTGCATCCCTTCACCTTTTCTGTAGGCTCCCGGAACGTAGTCTGCTTTGGTCCGCACCATGTTCACACAGGAAGAGACAACTCGCACCGACTCCCTAGCTGCGGATGTCTTAACTGGACAAAAAAACGAAAATGACGTTCCCGCCACAGTTTAAATGGGCCTCTTTCCCGCGCGCTCCAAGCTCTTGAGAATCGTGGCTCTTATTGGTTCCGCGCCTTCACCCCGAACCAATTGGCAGCATCCAGCGGATGACAGCCAGGAGACCAGGCTTTGCTGGCCAGTCCATCAGCCCCAGTGGTCGTGATTCGTACCCACTCCTGGTGGGCGGTGCCAGGATGTTCCAGGGGTGTGCCAAATGTGGGCACTGAGGTAGGCTGTGAACTAGCCAAATGCGTTGACTTATAAGATAAAATCTAGTAAAGATAGGAATTGCTCTTCAAAAGTTACCACAAAGTTAAATCCATGGTGATTAAACCCTGAAAGTGAAAATTAAAATTAAGTGTACTTATCGATGCAAATCAAAGCTAAAGTTTAATATCGTAAGAGTGAACTTTGCAGTGTTTTAAAATAACTTTCTGTGATGGGAGAAAGGAAAATGCAACTTGTTTTTTATTTTTTAACAGTATTTTTAAAAAGTTTCAGATCACATAAGACTAAAAAATTGGACAAATATTTTTATACACATATAAAAATAAATAAATAAACATGGTTACAGAGCTACAAATTTATCAAATGTAAAAAGGCTACAGTTCCAACCTACATGAGAATAAAGCTACATTAAAAAGATCATAAATATTTTCTGACCCTATGCTTCAGAAATTACACTATTTTTAAGAATTTGTATTTGTTCTTAATGCCATGCATGGAACAAGACCATTATTTGTGCTTGCTGCAGGATGCTTTCCATTAATGCTTGTTTGAAAGACAACCTTTAAAGTGTTAAGTACAAAGCTACTTCTCTCCAGTGAATTAGGCTTGAACAGCAACAAAACCTACTCAGGACCTTAACCAAATCAACAATTCATTGTGTTATACAACCTAAAGATTTCAAAGCCAGGACAAGTGCACCTTGTAATCTCAGTCCTGAGGAGGCAGAAACAGGCAGAGAGTGAGTTCCTTGTCAGTCTGGGATAGACCACAAGACAAGAAAAGGAAGGGGAAGGGGAGCGGGGAGAAAGAGACATACAAGAGGGCAAAATGCTAATGCACATAAAATAAAAATAAATCACTAAAAAATGAAAATGATGAAAGGGTTTAGGCAGTCATTGAATAACATCATAATATTAGCATAGTGGCTTATCTTAACCCTGGAGTGTTAGATTACAGCCAAATTCTCACCAGAAAAATAAACAAAGCAATCAACAAGCATTCCTTTATTGTCATTGAGCCTCATGAAAATGCACATTGGTTCTTAAGTTGCATTGTTTTCTTTTCAGTTAAAGGCCTTCCACTCAGGTCTAAATTGCTTAGTTGAACTCACATTCCAGAGTCCTGTAGAGAAAGGACCGAGAGAGGAGAGATTGTTTTCTCTTGCATTTCAAGCAAATAGCTAGAGAAAATGTCAAATGTACATAAAGGCAATCTACATATTATTGTAGTTGTGGTTGTTTTGTGTTTGTCTTTTAACACCAACAATGTTGATGAGGGATGCATGTTAGAGAAAAACACAAAAAAGGATGACACCAAATGTTTAATTAAAATGGCTACTTAGGGGGCTGGGAATTTATATTAATGGGATTTCTGTCTAAAGTTATACCTTCCTGCTGGAGATGTGACTCATGGCCTTGCATATGTTAAGTACTGAGCTACTAAGCTGTGGGAATGGATAAATATAGAAAAAGGCAGATTATTTGAATACACTAAAATTAATAATGAATACATTAGATTTTCATGAAAAGATAGAACTTATTCTCATCATTAATGAACACTGGCTGCATTTTCCTTTTTTGAAAAAGCTGGTGGTGGGCCGGGCATTGGTGGCACACGCCTTTAATCCCAGCACTTGGGGAGGCAGAGGCAGGCAGGTCTCTGTGAGTTCGAGGCCAGCCTGGTCTCCAGAGCGAGTGCCAGGATAGGCTCCAAAGCTACACAGAGAAACCCTGTCTCAAAAACCAAAAAAACAAAAACAAAAACAAACAAAAAAAGCTGGTGGTGGGCCAGCAAAATAGTTTAGAAGGTAACAGCTAAGGACCTGTAGGGCAGAAGGTTAGAACTCACTCCCACATGTTGTCCTCTGACTGTCACATGTGCATTGTGCATTTGTGGTAGCCCACCTACATATATACACAGGGAGAAACACACAAAAAAAGATTTTTTTGGAAAATTTATTTATTTTATATATATTGACTTTTTATTTGCATGTACACCTTCAGATCAGAAGAAAGCATCAGATCCCATAGATTCTGTGGCATAGAAAGTTGTATGGGTTCTGGGAAATGAACTTAGGACCTCTGAAAGAGCAGCCAGTGCATGCTCTTAATCGCTGAGCCCCAATATGATAACTTTTTAAGACAGGGTCTCACTAGTAATCCTGGATGGCCTGGCCTTGAACTCACAAAGGTTCACCTACCTCTGCCTCCTGCAGTGCTAAGATTAAGAGCATGTGCCACCATACCCAGTTAATGTAATTTATTTTTGTGTTTTTTTTTTTTTAACGTGTATGTGTGAGTGCCTGCATGTATGTATGTGCACTGCATGCAAGCCTGGTGTCTGTGGAGGCCAGAACAGAGAGTAGGAGTCACTGGAACTGGATTTGCAGGTGGTTGTTAGCCTTCGTGTGGTATAACAATGTGATTCTAGTCTCAGTTACAGATGGCACTGAAATTAAGCACCACCATCATCAGAGCAAAAACTACTCCAGTGCTTACAAACAGCTCGCAAGGGCTGGAGTTTGTGTTTTACTTTGATTGTCAGTGAGCTTCATGCCCAGTCTCCCTCCAACCTCTTTTTTATTTTGAGACAGGCCCTCGCTAAGTTACAAAGACTGACTTTGAGTTCACTTCGCACCACAAGTAGGATTTAGGTTTGTTATTCTCCTGACTAGAGATGTCTTTAAATGTTCTACCATTGGAACCAGACTAAATTTAAAAGCTGTACCCAGACTTCGGGGTCCTACTTTGTTTTATTCTTACTACAGCTCTTCTGCAGGTGCGTATATTGTGTTAGCACAATTGTCAAAGTCCTTTCTGGAGTTACACCTCTACGTCGAAGATCCACTCAAACACGGAGCCCCCACACACGTGTACACAGACCCGGAAGCTGAGAGAAGCCTGAGGCGGCCCAAGTGGGCGGGACCAAACTCAAAGTGGGTGCGACCTAGCGGGGCGGTGCAAGCTTGCGGAACCCTAGTCTACGAGGTCGCCGTAGCGAAGGGAACTAGTCCGGCGCAGGACGAACAGCTTTTGCAGCCCAGCTGGTTCCGGTTGGGAAAGATGGCGGTGGCTGGGGCGTCGGCCCGGGAGCGGCTAGTACACTGGTGCACACAGCAGTTGCGGAAAACTTTCTCCCTGGATGTCAGCGAGGAAATCATACAGTAAGATGGGTTCCAGGGCCGGGGCGGGAGGCAGCTCTGAGATACGACCTGGTAGGGCGAACAGGAAAGCCGGGAGGACTAAAAAGTTGATAAGAAATATGATAAAAGGGGCTGCAGAGGAACTTTCGTGTTTAAATTTTGGCCTCCACTTTTTCAGTTTATCCCCTAGATAGGTATGTCAGACTCCACTCACTTTCTTAGGAAAGTGTAACATTGTAATGATTAGACCTGCAAGACTGTCCCGAGAACAGGTTTGCTTACAGATTGTGGAGAGTGAACAAGTCGATACTGGCTTTCTAGAAATTGCTTATTCTGAACGTTGTAGTTTGTATCAAGCAGGACCCAGAATTTACACGGGGATGACATGGGACAGTATAGATAGTTCCCGATGCAGAGTCACAGCTTCGGTTTTCTCTTGCCACATAATTAGTTTTGGAAGCTTCAGCAAATTAATTTACCCCTTTTGTAAGCCCCTCCTTACTTAGAAAATGAATTATTACTAGAGCTTGCTCTTAGTGTTTTAAAATTCTTACAAAACAGATGACGATTATTTAATGTTTGCTGGAAATAACTAACTTAATTTGTTGCACTGTTGCTATATATTAGTCTCTAGGGCAACCAGGATGACATAGACAAATTGGGTTTACTGTGTTGACGAGTTCTGCGATGTGAAGAAGTTGAGGATCTTCTGGGAGCACAGAATAAACTTTTCAGTAGTGGATTAACTATTCAATAAAGGATATGGATTATGATTTGAGACTTGGGAAAGATGCCTCTCACCTTAGAAACTAAATTAGCACAAGTCGGGCTTCAAAGTATTCATGTTCATGTTGAGGGGAAGATTATAAAAACTGGATTAAAAAACAAAAGAAAGCCGGGCGTTGGTGGCACACACTTTTAATCCCAGCATTCAGGAGGCAGAGGCAGGCTGATCTCTGTGAGTTCCAGAGATCTGTGAGGCCAGCGTGGTCTCCAGAGCGAGTGCCAGGATAGGCTCCAAAGCTACACAGAGAGACTCTGTCTCGGAAAACAAAACAAAACAAAACAAAAACCCAAAAAACAAAAACTAAGACTTTTCCTTAATTTGACTCTTTGTTGCTGAAAACAAAATTGCTATTCCAAAATTATAAGAAATACAGTCAGTTTTCTGAGTTTGGGAGAAAATAGATTTGTTTTTTTAAACAAGAGTTAAGATAGCCTGGCTGTTTTAAAGTTGACACTGTAAGTATGGTTTAACACTTGCTTACATTTTAAAGATATCATAAGTTAGACAAGAAGCATGCTGATCAGAAACACTCAAGCTAAGCACTCTATAGTATTCTTTGAAGTAATTATTATGTGTTTACTAGTTGGCAACACGCTATTATGTCAGGATGAAAGCAGTTTCTGTGCTCTGTTTGACATTTAATTGAGAATAACACAGATGGAATGTTGTAAGAACGCAAATAATTTGATATGTGTCCTATATATTAAACGAATTTTTGTTGTTTTTTCATGACAGGGTTTCTCCATGTAGCCCTGGCTGTCCTGGAGCTTGTTCTGTAAACCAGGCTGGCCTCAACATCACTGAGATCCACCTGCCACTGCCTCTTGAGTTCTGGGATTAAAGGCTTGTTCCAACACTTTACAGCGTAACTTTCTAGCTTTTTTAGTGTAATTTTTGTTTGTGTTTTTTTGAGACAAGGATTCTCTGTGTAGCCCTGGCTGCCCTGGAACTCACTGTGTAGACCAGGCTGGCCATAAACTCACAGAGATCCATGTGCCTCTGCCTCCCAAGTGCTGGGGTTAAAGGTATAGACCACTACATTAGGCATTGTCTCTTTAAATTTCTTAATGTTTTAAACTTTTATTTTTATATTATTTTTTGAAGGTCTCCATTTTTTTTTTAAATTCTTTATGTACAAAGACTAGCATGATCTGTTTCGCTGGGTAGACAGTCTTGAATAATCCATTCAGGGTTGCTTAGTCCAACTTAATGAAGCCTGTGTCCTTCTCGTACTGACGGAAACACTGACCATGTTCAGCCCATATTTCCGGATCAGACTGTGGCGGTTAGAGCAGATGCGGCAGGAGCGAGAGCCCTGACTGAACTTTTGTGGGTGACTCCAGTAGAGCTGCCTTCAGCCGGCTAAAGAGAAAAAAGGCTTATTTTTATTTTTTATGTGAATGGTGTTTGCCTGCATATGTCTATGTACCATGTGTGTAGTCCTCTCATAGACCACAAGAGGGCATCAGGTCACCTGGGTCACCAGTTTCAGATGCTGGGAACCCAGGTGCTTTGGAAGATCTTTAAGTGATGCGTCTCTCCAACTCCTTTAATTTTTACTTTTGGTTAACTCTGATAACTGCAATGTAGCTCAGTGATAAAGAGCTTATCTGATATGTGCAAGGCCCCACGTTCCATCCACAGCACAACAATGAAACCAGCCTAACAAAATTAATTAAATCTGTTGATTAGAAAATATTCTCAATGAAGTATGAATGCACATGTTTTGTTTTATTTTGTTTTTGTTTTTTTTTTTTTAGATTATAACTGAACTACTATCACACTGGAAGAATCTAATAAGTATATTCAACCTGTTAAGAATATTAAAATGGCTGGGCGGTGGTGGCGCACACCTTTAGTCCCAGCACTCGGGAGGCAGAGGCAGGTGGATCTCTGTGAGTTTGAGACCAGCCTGGTATGAGACCAGCCTAGTATACAAGAGCTAGTTCCAGAACAGCTTCCAAAACCACAGAGATACCCTGTCTCAAAAACAAAAACAGAAACAAATTAAATTAAAATGACATTTATTTATGCATGTGTATACACATTTGTGGACACTTGTGAGGTCAGAGGACAACTTGTGGGAGTTGACTCTCTTTTTCTACCACCTAGGTCCACCAAACTCAGGTCATTAGGCTTGGTGACAAGCACCTCTACTTGCTGAGCTGTCTCATCATCCCATATTTAACCTTCTAGTGTCATATACAAAGTTTATGCTTTAGAATCATGTGATAGTTAGAATAGATAGATAGATAGTCCCCGAAAGGTGGGGGGGGGACTTTTATGTTGAGCTACATTCATAGCTGTCCTGGAGTGCATCATCCCATAGGCTGCAGTTTTAACACACCTGTTTCTAGTGCATGTGCTATCCCATGCTGGGATAATTCCTTCTTTTTTTTTTTAAAAAAGATTTTATTTATTATGTATACAACATTCTGTTTCCATGTATATCTGCACACCAGACGAGGGAACCAGATTTCATAACGGATGGTTGTGAGCCACCATGTGGTTGCTGGGAATTGAACTCAGGATCTTTGGAAGAACAATCAGTGCTCTTAACCTCTGAGCCATCTCTCCAGCCCCAATTCCTTCTTTTTTTAAAGATAGATTTATTTTACGTGTGTGAGTGCTTTGCCTTCGAAGGTATGTGCGCTGTGTTTATTCCTGATGCCCACAGAGCTTAGAAGAAGATGTTGGATCTTCTGGAATTGGAGTTATGGGTGGTTGTGAGCTGCCATATAGGTGCTGGAGACTGAACTTATGTTTTCTGCAAGAGTAGCAAGTACTCTTAACTGCTGAGCTATTCCTCTAGCCACGCAAATTTCGTAAAATACTGAGAAACAATCAGGTTCTTTGTCCTTATCAAATTTATATGCTTAGTACCTAGCATAGTACATGGCTCAGAGTAAACACTCTTAATAAATTAATGAATGCTTTTCGTTTGTTTGTGTTTCTGGAGTAGTGCTGGAATTGAACCCAAAACCTCATGTGTGCTAGGCAAGTTCTGTATGACTAAGCTACCCTCAGCCATGATGAATGATGTTTAGTACCTTCATCCCTGTTATGATTTCTGAATGTCATACAGAATAAGCTATTCTTGTTTCAATAACTTTTATCTTTACCTCCTGAGGTATGTTTTGTCAATTGAGAGTGCTGAAGAGCTACGAGAATATGTGACAGACCTTCTCCAGGGAAATGAGGGGAAAAAAGGTCAATTCATAGAAGATCTTATAAGCAAATGGCAAAAGAATGATCAAGAGTTGGTTTCTGATTCTTTTCAGCAGTGCTGGAAGAAAGATGGTAAGTTAATGTGGTTAAGTGATAATTGAAGTATTAGTATTAGTGATAATGTTTGGCTTTAAAGCTCAGTGTTTTTGGCCACAAGGTATTACTTGTTCACAGCTAACCTAAACAGAATCCTGTGTGTGCATATTTTCTGCTTAGGTCTATTCAGTTATTAATGAATATTGCTCTCACCTATCAGGCTTTTCTGTCTGCCTCTGCCTCCCCAAGTACTGGGATTAAAGATGTGTTCTGTTCCACCATACTGGGTACCACCCACCATTTATAAATTTACAAAAAAAAAAAAAATCACAAAAGAATCTGGTTCCAGACACAGTTGTAGCTTTAGAATAATTTCAAAAAGTTAACAAATGGATTAAAGAAATATCTTTCAAAGGCTGAGCCCTCATTCAGTAGTAAGATACTTGCCTAGTATGTGTGAGAGCCTGTGTTCAATCCCCAACACTACAAAAAATTATTTTTATAAATATATATATTTAAGATTTATTTATTTATTATATATACAGTGTTCTGTCTGCATGTAACCCTGCACGCCAGATGTTATTACAGATGTTTGTGAGCCACCATATGGTTGCTGGAAATTGAACTCAGGACCTCTGGAAGAGCAGCCAGTGCTCTTAACCTCTGAGCCATCTCTCCAGTCCCTATTTTTGAAGATTTTTTTTCTTTTTAAAAATTATTTATTTCATGTGTGTGAGTGTTTTGCCTGCATGTATGTTTGTGCCACGTGCATCCCTGGTGCCCTTGCAGGACAGAGGACAGACTTGGGTTCCCTGGAACTGTGGTTTCACATGGTCTGAGCTGCCATGTGTATGTACATGAAATTGAGCCATGCCTAGCCAGTGCTTTTAACTTCTGAGCCATCTCTCCAGCCCTGTTTTTGTTTTGTTTGCTGTTTTTTTTCTTTTTTCCAAGACAGGGTTTCTCTGTATAGTCCTGGCTGTTCTGGAACTCATTTTGTAAACTAGGCTGGCCTCAAACTCAGAGATCTATCTACCTCTTCCTCCAAGTGTTGGGATTAAAGTCATGCATCACCATGCCTGGCTCCAGCCCTGTTTTTATAAATATTTTTAATGATGTGTATACTTGAGTGAAAGTATTGACAGATTATGAATGATATTTAGAGGTATCGATTTATATAGCACAAACAATGAACACCAAACTAAATAACATCATTATTATACACTGTAAAATGTTGTATTATTAACTTCCACTCAGTATTATTTGAGTTCTCCTTTTTCTTTTTCTTCTTCCAGTACTAGGGATCCAACCCAGGGCTGCTTGCATGTTAGGCAAGCATTCTCCATCACCAAAACTGTTTAGAATTATTTACCATGACCACAGTCATGAAGATGGCTTAATTTTGAATTGAGAGTAGTTGTGCCTGACTTTGTGTCTTGACTGTAAATATTAAGAATTGCCTGCAAGCCAAGAACAGTGGTGGCATACACCTTTGGTCCCAGCACTCAGGAGGCAGAAGCAGGCAGATCTCTGTGATTTTGAGGCCAGCCTGGTCTACAAGGTACACAGAGAAACCCTGTCTTCAAAACAAAACAAACAAAAATAATTACCTTCAGGTTTTACCTACAGAAAACTAAATAATAAACCTTGCTATTCTCTTTCTGTATTTGTGTGTATTTTATTTTATTCTTTAAAGAAATTTTAGATGGACAGAGATCAGTAGACCAGCTAAAGCGGAGTAGGAGGAAAGGAAGAAACAAACAAGAAGTTCCTGCATTTCCTGAACCTGACCTGACTGTAGAGGTCAAAACACCTTTAGATTTGGCCAAGGTAAGTGCTTACAAAATCAAGCTTTTCCTGGCTCTGTGGAGAAGAGGAAATGACTATTATGATTTGGAGATAAAGTGCAGAAATTGGTCTACCATGATAGATTTTAAAAAATGGGTGGAGGAGGTGACAATGCTGACATGCTTCTTTCTGTGTGATGTACTAGATCTTTTTTCTTTTAAGATAAGGTAGCCACGTAGCTCAGGCTGACCTCTAACTTGCTGTTAGTCTTGAACTCCTGATCTTCTTACCTCTCCCTTCCAAGTTCTAGATTATAAGTGTGTGCCACCACTCTCTACAAGACTTATTTTATTTCATACTAAGGATCAAACTTAGGACCTTGTGTGTGCATGTGAGACTGCATTCCTGTTGGTGGATGAATAATAATTAATAAAACACCCTACTTTCAACTTCATCATTTGAGAGGGCAGTCAAAATTAAATGATTATTTGCTTTTACTAAAACTGCCAGGCCTACTTACCTAGCAGGGGAGATACCACAATCACAAAGGTGGTTTTCCCAGGACAAGGCTTAGCCATTGCATTCTGGATGTGTTGATCCCTGTGATTTTCAAAAAGGTGGGAAATTCAACTACATGATTTTTTGTAGTGGGGGATTGTGTTCTAACTCTCCCCTACAACAACAACAACAACAACAACAACAACAACAACAACACACACACACACACACACACACACACACACACACACACACCAAACAAACAAAAAAACTCACATAAAACAATACCCCAAATCACCCGAACAAAAAGCCAAAACTATCAGGCAATTGAGAGACCAAAGCAAGAAGATTGAGAGTTCCAGGCCAATCTGAGCTACTTAGTGAATTCTAGGCCAGCCTGGAATGAGACTGTATTAAAAAAAATCAGTAAAAGATATTTGAGGGGCTGGAGAGATGGCTCAGAGGTTAAAGCTCTGGCTGCTCTTCCAGAGGTCCTGAGTTCAATTTCCAGCAACCACATGGTGGCTCACAACCATCCATTATGAGATCTGGTGCCCTCTTCTGATGTGCAGATATACATGGAAGCAGAATGTTGTATGCATAATAAATAAATAAAGTCTTTTAAAAAATATTTGAATAGTATTTCTGTTTCGAAAGTTTTCTCTTCTACCATTATTATCATTATTCAGTTGTCAAAACTCATTAATAACCAGGCTGGCCTAGAATTCTCTGTGTATCTCAAGCCATCTTTGAACTCAAAATCCTGCTACCTCAGTCTTCCAAGTGCTCAGGTTATAGCCACTGTACCTGGATAACTAAAACATTTATAGTCGTCACAATCTAAATTTCCCAACAGAAGGAAATTAATTAATATAAGAAGGAATTAAAAAAAAAACAAACCTGAGTATGATACCATGCAAAAAAAAAAAAAAAAAATGGGTGAGAAGTGGACATGGTGGCCTCAACCACAATCCCAGGGCTCAGAAGTCTGAAGCAGAAGTCCTTCCCATTCAAGACCAGCCTGGGCTGCTGAATGAAACTTTTTCTCAAAAAAGTAAAACTAAAGCAAAACTAAAAAAACTAAGGAGAATGATATTTGCAAAGATTATCACAAGTGAACAAAGAACATATAACCAATAAGTATATAAAAGTGTTTAATCTCAAGATCGAGGCTAGCCTGGTCTAGGGTGAGTTCCAGCACAGCTTCCAAAGCTACAGAGAAACTCTGACTCAAAAAACAAAACAAAACAAAACAAAAAACCCAAAACAAACAAAAAAATGTGGCCAATTTTTCATACTCCTAATTTGCTTGGAACTTTTTCAATTTTAGCACCTAAAGTCTCTTATCATGCCCCTGCCCCAAGGCATGAACAAACCCAAGATGTTATACTCATCAGATAAATATATTTTAAATCACTACCAGATTGTCAGTGATTAAAAATAAAATTAGTGTTTGGCAGCATGCATGAAGAACTGTAGAAATGTTTGTATATTCTTTACTTTGAATCCCCATCCCCCACAGCCTTGTGTATGCTAAGGAAGAGTTTTACCCCTGAATGACCCCCAAATGCTATGTTGTATTATTTTAATGCCTAAAGATGTTGTGTACTTTTTCATGTTTCTCTTTATCATTTGAACATGTTGCTATGAAATTCATATTTTATACTATGTTTTATCATATTATATTTTTTCTTATGTCTGTTTTCCCTCTAATAATAGGAATTGAATGTAGAGCCACATCCATGCTAACCACCAGTTACACTGTTTCTTTTCTTGTTAATTCCTAAATGAATAAGTTTCTTACTGACTTTTCTTATTTTATTGATTGCGTATGCTTTGAGATCTGTGAATGTTGTCCACTTTTAGAGGTATTGCTTTAGTTACTTGTTTTATTTATTTACTCTTTGTGTGTGCGTATGTGTGTGTGTGCATGCAGTTTATGTGAGTCTGTTCTCTTCTTTTATATTGTGTCAGGTCATTTAGGCTTGGAAAGTATCTTTACCTCCTGAACTGTCTAACTAGCCCCAAAGGCATTTTTAGCTATGGTTTAAGACATCAAGGGTTGGGAGTATATACCTCAGTAGCTAGCACATACCTACTGTACATAGGCACTTGTTCAGTAGCTAGCACCACATGAAAAGGAGAAATAGGAAAAATAGGACTGAGGATTGGTAGCATGCTTGCCTGTCATGTATGATGCTCTGGGTTCCCTCCCCGGCACTGCTTATTGAGTGTAGTCATGTATACATGTCATCTCAGCACTTAGGAGATACAGGCAGGAGGATCAATGCCATCTTCTAGTTTGAACTTAATAGTTCAAGCCAATTGTTACTCAAAAACAAAAGGAACCCAGCTCACTACATTTGAATGATGAAATATCTACATATGCGGTATTAAGTATCTTAAGGGACAGCGATATGGCTCAGTGGGTGAAAGTGCTTGCCACCAAGACTGATGACCTGAGTTCAGTCCTCTGAATCCACACGATGCAAGGAGAGAACTGACACCTGAAAGTTGTCCCCTGACCTGCAAATGCACACCATAGTTGTTTTTACATGTGTAAAACTTCCTTTTAAAAACATATCAAGCTGCTTTAAATGCTAAATTTACTTTGCTCTTAGGTGACTGAGAGCTACTAACAAAATAAAACAATTGCTAGAAAAACAATTACCTTGCTTTTATCAGGCCCCTAATTATAAGTAATCTGTATTCCCCTTCTTTGGTGATTCATGTAAGTTGTTACAGTACTGAGGCTTTCTTCCTTAATTCTTTTTGTTGTCATTGATTAGTGTTCTCTGGTAATGTCTTTGTACATATAGGCACAAGAAAGCAACAACTCAGTAAAGAAGAAGACAAAATTTGTCAATTTATACACAAGAGAGGGACAGGACAAACTGGCAGTCCTGCTTCCTGGTCGTCACCCATGTGATTGCCTGGGCCAGAAGCACAAGCTCATCAATAACTGTCTGGTCTGTGGTCGGATTGTCTGCGAGCAAGAGGGTTCTGGCCCCTGCTTATTCTGCGGCTCTTTGGTAAAGTCTTTCTTTCCTGTTTTGTTTTTACTCTGTGCCCTGGGTGATTTTTGTCAGCTTGCATTATCTGAAAACAGGGAACTTCAGTTGAAAAAATGCTTTCATAAGATTGGCCTGTAGGTAACCATGTGGAACATTTTCTTAATGAGTGATTAATGTGGGAAGGCCTTGCAATTGTGTGGTCTGGAGGGTGGTCCCGGATTATATAAAACAGGCTAATGTATGATGATGTTTGCTTATAATAGCAGCACTTGGGAGGCAGAGGCAGGAGGATCTCTGTGAGTTCCAGGCCAACTGGAGCTATAGAACGAGAGCTTGTCTTTAAAATAGAGAAAGGGGGCTGGAGAGATGGCTCAGGGGTTAAGAGCACTGCTCGTTCTTCCAGAGGTCCGGAATTCAATTCCCAGCAACCACATGGTGGCTCCCAACCATCTGTAATGTAGTCTGATGCCCTCTTCTGGACTGCAGGGATACATGCAGACAGAACACTGTATACACAATAAATAAATAAACCTATCTTTAAAGAGAGAGAGAGAGAGAGAGAGAGAGAGAGAGAGAGAGAGAGAGAGAGAGAGAAGGGGGGGCTGGAGAGACGGCTCAGTGGTTAAGAGCAGTGGCTCCTCTTCCAGAGGACCCGGGTTCTATTCCCAGCACCCACATGGCAGTTCACACCTGTCTCTAACTCCAGTTCCAGGGGTTCTGGTATCCTTACACCAATGCACATAAAATAAAGTTAAATAAAGTATATATTGCTTATAACTCCAATTCCAGCAGATCTGATACCTGCTTCTGACCTCTGCAAGACCAGGCATACATATGGTAAACAGACATACATGCAGGCAAAACATTCAGACATTCATACTAAAAATAAATAAGGGTATAAAAAAATAAGCCCTTTCCTCCTACCAGAATTGCTTTTGTCATAGTGGGTTTTTTTTGTTGGTGGTGGTGGTTTCTGTTTTTTTTGTTGTTGGCTTATTTGTTTTTTTCAAGACAGAGTATCTCTGTAGCTTTGGAGCCTATCCATAAACCAGGCTGGCCTCGAACTCACAGAGATCTGCCTGCCTCTGCCTCCCAAGTGCTGGATTTAAAGGTATGTGCCACCACTGTTCGGCCAAATCCTTTGTAATGTCTCTTAGGAAATTTATTCACTACAATGTTTAATGGAATCCCAGCACTCTGGAGACCAAGGCAGAAAAGTGAGGGACTATGTAACTAGGCTGCTCTCAAACTCCCTGTGAGCACAGGTTCATTAATAACTGTCTTTGAACTCCTGGTGTAAACGAGGCTAGCCTCAAGTTTGTTGCAGTCCCCCTGCCTCAGGTTTTCAAGTACTAAACTACTGAGATTACAGATACAGGCTATCATATTTGCCTTCTTGTTCTTTCTTTCTGTGTGTGTGTGTGTGTGTGTGTGTGTGTGTGTGTGTTTTGCTTACATGTATGTCTGTGGACTACATTTGTGCCTGGTCCCCTCAGAGGCTAGAAGAAGTAATTGGATCCCCTGGAACTGGAGTTACAGACACTTGTGAGCTGCCATGTGTGTGCTGGGAATCAAACCCAGGTCCTCTGGAAGAGTAGCCGGTGTTTTTAATTGCTGAGCCATCTCTCCAGCTTCAAGCTTCTGGTTCTTTCTAATAAAAAATCTCCTTATAATTTCTGTTGTTGGATTTGGAGTTTGTTAGAACCAAAGGCTTTTGAAAAGTGCCATGATTTTTTTCAGTATTCTTGACAGGAGCAAATATTTTTACTTTGAAAGTAGGTATATGTATATCTATCTGTCTGTCTATCTATCTATCTATCTATCTATCTATCTATCTATCTATCTATCTATCTATCTATTATTTTATTATTCACCTAGTTATTCAGAAATATTTACAGCAATGAACTTTTTGGTTTTTCAAGACAGGGTTTCACTGTGTAGCCCTGGCTGTCCTGGAACTCACTCTGTAGACCAGGCTATCCTTGAACTCAGAGATCCACCTATTGAGGCTACTCTTTATAGCATAGCAAGCAAGAAATATTATTTGGGGAGCTGGAGAGATGGCTCAGCGGTTAAGAGCACTGGCTGCTCTTCCAGAGGTCCCAGGTTCAATTCCCAGTCCCCACACGACAGCTCACAACTGTCTGTAACTCTAGTTCTAGGGGATCCAGTACCTTCACACAAAATATATCCAGGCAAAACACTAGTACACAGTAAATAAATAAATAAATCTTTTAAAAAAAGAAATATTATTCAACTGCTGAATGGTAATTCTTTCTTTTACTTTATAGGTATGTACTAATGAAGAACAGGACATTTTACAGCGTGACTCAAACAAAAGTCAGAAACTGCTAAAGAAGCTCATGTCAGGTAAATCCCAGTTTTCTTTCTTGCTTTGTTTTTTTTCATTCTTTGAGACAGGGCCTCACTTTGTAGACCAGGCTGGCTTTGAACTCAGAGAGCCGCCTGTGTCTGCCTCCTAGGTGCTGGGACTAAAAGCATGTACCACCATGCCAGGCTCTCAGCTCTAATTTCTGAGTTTTAATCCTTATAAAGATAAATGCTGACATCAAGGGATGAACTTATATAGGAATTGTATTCTTTTTTTCCAAAGTATTAAGTCTTTTATATTTGAGAACATCTGACAAAAATATTTAAGGACTTTTTTGTTAGGGTGGCACAGACCTGAAGTACTATATTTGGGAGGCTGAGGCAGGAGGATTGTTGGAGTTTGGGTGTTTGGGACTATCCTTTAGTAGATTCTTATCTACTAAAAAATAAAAAATAAAATATAGGTGGTCTGGTGAGATGGCTCAGCATGTAAAGGTACCGTCTGCTGAGAAAACTGACTCCCACCGGTTGGCCTCTGCCTTCCCATATATGCTTCATGGCATGCGCATACATGCACGCACATGCATACACACACACACACCCACACACACACCCCATGCTAAATAAAATGTAAAAAGAAAATAGCTTACACAAATGACCCCCCCATACACCCCATACTGAATAAAATGTAAAAAGAAGAAAGTGAAGCTAGGTATGGTGGTGCAAATAAACCTATAACTACAGCATTCTAGAGTCTGTGAAAGGAGCACAGCATGTTTGAAACTATGAAACTGAACCGAAACTAGGCTATCTTGCATTGCATAGTGAGACCCTGTCTCAGAAAAGAAGTTCAAGGCTGACAAGATGGTTCAGAAGGTAAAGGTGCTTACTGCTAAGCCTGATGACCTGAGGTCAGTACCTGAGACCTGCAAGTTGTCTTTTGACTTCCACATGCATGCGGTGGCATGTGTACACATACATACGCTAACACTAAATTCTTTTAAAACAACATAAAATTTAAGACTATTTTTAAAAGGCATTTTTTTTGCCTTTTTTAGAGCCCCTCTTTTTTTTTCTTTTGAGAGGTAAGATCTCTTGTAGCCCAAGTTACTCTTAAACTTTCTGTGTAGTTGAGGAGAACTTTGAACTTTAGATACGCTACCTTTTCCAAGGTATTGGGATTGTAGGTGTGTGCCATCATGCCAGGCTAAAACAACTTTTAAGAGGTAGAACAATGTGTTTATTAATTTCCATCAAAACTATATTTAGCTCTCACCTTATTTCATATTTTTTTCTTTCAACTCATTCACAAGGACTGGAGCTCAGTCCTAAAATCCATGTAACAAGGTGGGCTTCCTGCAGATGCCTGATTGGACACCTTCTGGCCTCCAGGCACATGTACCTGCATGCACACATACACAAATAAATAAGGCTTTTAAAATATTCTATTGACTGCTTATCCTAATTTGTTTATCTAGCTCCTAGCTATTGGATATTTAGACACTTTCCAAATTAGAAATAATGTTATAAATGGTCAACTTTGTCAACATACCTTTTGACTTTGTTGGGACACAATATTTTATGTTTTTGTTTTGTTTTGTTTTTTAGTTTTTCAAGACAGGGTCTCTTTGTGTAGCCCCAGCTGTCTTAGAACGTGCTGTGTAGACCATGGTGGACTCAAACTCACAGAGCTCTGCCTTCCTCTTCCTGCCAAGTGCTGGGATTAAAGACCTGCCATCATCACCAGGCTTGTTGGGACACATTCTAAAGGATGTGGTTAATTATTTAAAGATACCTATTTATTTAACTATTTTTTATTTATACTGTTATAGCTCTGGCTCCATCTGGTACTGTCTGGGTTTAGAATAGTCTTGAACTCTAGGTAATTTTCCTGCCTCTGCCTCCTGAGTGCTGTCGTTACAGGTGTGTAAGACCGTGCCAAAGTTCACAAAAAATTTTTTTGAGGCTATTATCCAGCTGACCTTGAGTCCCTAGGCTCTGGTGGTCCTCCTGTAGCCTTCCATGTAGGTGAGTGTAGCATTTAATGATCTACCTTTTATTGTCTGAATAAATTCAGTACATTTACTTCCATCTTTGAACTTTAGTTTCCTAATCTATAAACAAAGATGATATAAACTTTTTATTGGTTATTTTGGCAAATATTATTCCTTTTATGCCTTATCATTTACTCCATTTTTGCACATTTCTGAAATCTTTCTTCCATTAATTAATATTTGGTTTTGATATATAAAAGTATATAAAAGAGGGAGTGGCAGGTGGATCTGTTCGAGTTTGAAGCCAGCCTGGTCTACAGGACAGTCTCCAAAGCTACAGAGAAACCGCGGGGGGGAGAAGGGGGGAAGCATATACATGATAGCTCTTTCCTCAGTAAAGTGGTTTTTTTGTTGTTGTTTTTATTGTTGTTGTTTGTTTTGATCTTAGGAGCTGTGTGACAAACACAGGCTCTTTATAGAAAAGCAGTCTAACACTGAGATACATTTGGTATTCCCTAAGTGGTCTAGATCTCTCTCTCTCTCTCTCTCTCTCTCTCTCTCTCTCTCTCTCTCAGATATTTTGTGACAGGGTTTCTCTGGCTGTCCTGGAACTCACAGGTAAATTTGTTAAATAAATAAAGGCCTAACTTTATTTATTTATTTATTTATTTTTGAGAAACTGTTAGTGCCAGATACCACTTGATGTCGGTTGGGGCTGACCTTAAATGTTTTCATTTCAGTGAATGCTTCAGATCATCAGGCTAGAACCAGATCTGTAAATATTTTGTTTATTGCTGCACAACAATACAACAAATTTGTTCTATGGGCTGATACCATTTGCTTTTCTTATTGAATTTCAGGGGCGGAAAATTCTGGAAAGGTAGACCTCTCTACCAAGGACCTTCTTCCTCATCAAGAATCTCGAATTAAGTCTGGTTTGGAGAAGGCTATCAAGCATAAAGAAAAACTATTAGAGTTCGACAGAACTAGGTATTGTAGGGTTAAACTAACATGTGCTAAGACAGAAACTCATTCATTGATTCTGGCCATTAAAACATTATTTGGGGGGCTGGATAGATGGTTAAGAGATTAAGAGCACTTGTTGCTCTTGCAGAGAACCAGGTTCGATTTCCAGCACCTGTGTGGTATCTCTCAGTCATCTGTAGCTTCAGTATCAGAGGGATGCCCTCTTCTGATTTCTACAGTCACTAGGCACTCACTCACATAGAGCAAACACATGTACATGTAGGCAAAACACCCACATAAATTAATAAAATAAATATTACTTTGACACTTGATACCTTCTAACATGGAGTATAAAAGGGTCTATAACAGAGAAGAGCTGGATACTCTGTATTGGGTTTTTTTTAAATTGCATCTTGGCTTTTGTTTTGTTTTTGTTTGACAGGGTTTCACAATGTGGACCTGGCTGGGCTAGACCAGCCTGGCATCAAACTCAAAGAGATCTGCCTGCTTCTGCCTCCCAAGTGCTAGGATTAAAGTGTAGACTACTACATCTGTCTCCTCTAAATTTTTTTTTTAAACATTCTGCACAAAAAACTTACAGATCTGGGCTAGAGAAATGTCTCAGAGGTTAAGAGCACTGGCTGCTCTTCCAGAGGTCCTGAGTTCAATTCCTAGCAACCACATGGTGGCTCAAAACCATCTGTAATGAGATCTGGTGTCCTCTTCTGGCCTGCAGGAATATATTCAGGCAGAACACTGTATACATAGTAAATCAATCAATCTTTTTTTTTTATTTTTTTAAAGACTTTATTTATTATGTATATAGTTATCTGCATGCATGCTTGCACACCAGAAGAGGGCACCAGATCTCATTACAGATGGTTGTGAGCCACCATGTGGTTGCTGGGAATTGAACTCAGGTCCTCTGGAAGAGCAGTCAGTGCTCTTAACCTCTGAGCCATCTCTCCAGTCCCCTCAATCAATCTTTAAAAACAAAACAAACCAAAACAAAACTTACAGATCACATTTATTTAGTAACAAATTATCTAATTGTTGGGTAAAAAAAATTTAAAAACTGTATTTTCAAACCAAAGAGCAGCTGTGTTCAGTAAACCAGTTTATATTGCAGAACAATAAAAATACTACATAGACAGCATACAGATTTTTGTGCTAAAGACAGAATAGAAGAAAGTTTATATTAAACAAAAAATAAGCCAGAAATAATGGCATACTACACCTCTAATCCCAGCACTTGGAAGACAGAGGCAGGCAGATCTCTGTGAGTTAACACCTGCAGGCCAGAAGAGGGCAGCAGATCTCATTATAGATGGTTGTGAGCCACCATGTGGAAGCTGGGAATTGAACTCAGGACCTCTGGAAGAGCAGCCAGTGCTCTTAGCATCTGAGCCATCTCTCCAGGCCTGCATTAGACTTTTATAAAAATAAAATCCTGACAGACATGAGCTGCATACTTTCTACTTAACCCACAGCCCCAGAGTGCAGGAAGCACATTGTGAACAATGATTCCTTAAGCTCCCATTACAACCTTCCAAATGCCGACTATTCCACACTCTTGAAACCACTGTGAACCAAGATCCTGTATTAGGGAAACCACTGAAATACTTAAAGGAAAAACTGGCCCTGGAGACTTTATTCATGAATTCAGCAACTGTTTTTTTTTTTTGTTTGTTTGTTTGTTTTCCTTTTTGGTTTTTTGAGACAGGGTTTCTTGTGTAGCTTTGGAGCCTGTCCTGGCACTTGCTCTGTAGACCAGGCTGGCCTCGAACTCACAGAGATC